TAAGGACAGCAAACAAACAGGGAGCGGCCTTTACTGTCATAAGTCATGTACTGACTGTCAGTCAGACTGAGACGTCACGATCGGGTGAAGGGTCTTTATTGTGGTGATGTAGTAATAAAACACGCAGTTTATTTTGAGGTGGAGTTGTCATTACAACCTGCTCAACATTCCACTCGGCCGCTAACTGTGCACAAGTGGCTAATGATTAACTCCTATGAAAGGAGTGTTTGAATGGACAAGCACTGCAGAACCTGCCTGGCTGTACATCATCAAACATCTACATATTCTGTTACATAACCTGAGGTGGCACACATGGGAGTAGGCCAAGCTGACACACACACACACACACACACACTACAGTACACACTCTGACAAACACAAAGAAACTCAATCTCCATTCCAAGGTGCAGCCAACACACTGGCCTGGGTGTGAGAGTCCGGGCCAGACACTGTTGGACATCACAACATCACAAATATGTATACACACACACATACTAACATGAGTCACATAAATACTGATCCACAACAGGAGTCTGACTATTTAAGAAACCACATTTTTGGAACATAAAGTTTAAAAGGGCAGCGAGGTTCAAAAGGACAAAAAACTGAGAAAAGGTGTAAAAAAAAAGGCAAAAGAGTGTAAAAAGAAACCAATAGAAAGCCAAAAAAAATTTAAAAAATACTAAATAATAATAATAAAATAATCAGAATAGAACAACATGAGCTAAAAACGGTAAAAAGAATAGAGAGCAGAGTAAAGGTAGAAAAAAAGGGCAAAAGGGACAGAGTAAGGTTAGATTTATTTTAAATCTTACTTTATTGTAAATTATCATTAGGCAACAACAAGCAAAAAGGGCATAAACGGCAAAAGAAGAATAAAAAAGTACAAATATGACAAAACATCATCAAAAGGCAAAAAGTCACTGAATTACCAAGAAGGCGAAAAAAAGAAAAGAAAAGACAAACATGGAAACAATGACACAAACATCACGTCGCTTATAAATATTTTCCTTAAAAATACCAACACCAAAAAGACTAAAGCAGTGACATTTTGAAATAGACAAAAACTGTACCGGGAGTTTGAGAATGGATTTTAGTGTAAGACGCTCAACCACTGCTACAGTTATTAAATACCAAACATTACTGCAGTAATCCTGTGTTTGTGAAGTGGCCAGACTGGCACGCCTGGCCTTGATTTCCCATCCTGCATGTGTGTTTGTGTATCATAAGTCTTTTCCCTGGTTCACCCCGGTCTCCCAGCACTACACTGACTCCTTTCTTCTCTGCTGTTCAGGACAACAGGATTAATGACCAGCAGCGGGGACACGGAAAGGTTGTGTCCATCAGCCAGCAGGATTTTACAGCCTGTGTCACTGCGTGTGTGCGTGTGTGTGTGTGTGTGTGTGTGTTTATTCTCTCCCTTCTGGAGTCTGATGATGCCATCTTACCCGCATACTATCTCTCTTTTCCAAAGAAAACAAAACTCAAACATGCTAACAAACAAGCTAATCTTTTCAAATATGTCTGATTTATTTGCAGAGTCACAGTCAGCTTGACTGGCTGAACCTAACAGCTATGTTGATGCCATTACAAACTCAATTTTTAAAAGGAACTATGTCATTATTATGATAATTGTTTTTTTGTTTGTTTTACAAACTCAAGCAGGAGAACACGAAAGAAAATGAACTGATCTACTGTCCTAACACATGTTGCAATATTTCTAAGAAATTTCAAAGAGTTACTGGGAAATCCTTCTCTCACACTCACACGATGACACAACACTTTTTGGTATGTCATACCTCTGAAGTCATTCTGGGGGAGTACTCGTTCACGAATGCTGCAACAACGATAAACAGACATTTGCATAAAGCAAAAACCATTCTTTAATTATGAGTTAATGAACAATATAAAATATAAAAAACATATAAAATACAATTCTTTAATTATGAGTTAATGAACAATAACCCATAATAACCAATCATTACTAGGAGATATTTTATATGTGACATGCCCTTGTTAAAAACAAAAATCTACACACTTATATATGTATATAATATATAATAATAACACTAGTCGACCTGATCAAACCTAACTGGTGGATTTACTGATTAGTGAGATCAATCTGTTACCTCACACACTAACATAGCATGGTTTCATTTTTTCTTGGGTTTGCAGTATTCTAATCAGAGCGCCTGCTGCTTCTTAGATCTGACCAGTCCTTCAGAGAACTTCCTACAACATACTTCATCACAACGTGAGCATGAGCCATCATGAAGTTTTCTTGCACCACAACCTGTAACGACAGGAAGTGATGTTACTTTCCAAGGAGTTGCGCTACACTGCACTTTTGTAGATGACATAGGTGTATAGTGTACGAGTAGAAGTACACAATCAAACATCTGGTATACTTAAGAGATTTAATGACAATACTATAAATAGTTTATTTTCATGTAAATAACATTTTTGTTACAATATAATTAAATGAGTGCATTTCAATAAATTAGTCAAAATACGTTTCTGTATTAAGAAAAATATGTAAATAAAAAAATATATTTTGGTTTATTGCACCTGTTAGCAATTACTTTAGTTTAGTTTGTATAGAATCATCAGAGTGAACATGAACCAGGTCTGTGCTGAGAGGGTCAGTGTCAGGGTTAGAATCCCCAGAGATTTTTGTTTTGAATTAGCATGTTGACTGATAGGAAAACAGGTTTTACAGTCATGCAAATAATAAGACGGCACTTCCAGTTTTAAGACGTGGCAATTAGTCTTTACAAACCGCCGTCTTACATTTCTCCTACGTTACAATGGAACAAAAATAGTACAAAAGACCGACAAGCCGCTCTTTTTTTACCCACTTCATCTTAAAACCATAAATGGCAGTAATCCTTAAACCCTAGATTTTATTACAACGATCAAATGATATCAAAGCATCTGGGAATATTGTACAGGAGTAAAGTGGGGCCTGGTGAGCTGGTGAGCCACACGTGGTCTCCATTCAGGCCAGAGTGGAAGAGTGTGAGGCTGTCACTTTGTGCTGATTCTGGCCTTTCTCCACTCACCTCCTTCACCAGTGTGGTCTCACACTTAACTGCACTTTCTGCTGTAAGTTAACATTACACACGCAAAAACCTGTGAAGAAAGACTGCCGCTGTAGTCAAGCTAGTCTTGGTTTTATTTATTTTTTATTTTCACTTTACTCGGTCAAAGGAGTTGTAGTTATGGGCACATTTAGCCTAAAACACACACACACACACACACACACACACACTGAAAGTCATTTTTCAGCAGCACCTGAATGTAGTGCATACAGCTGTGCAACCACTGTGGTCTTCCTCTTCATATAGAACCACACACAAGTGCTGTTCTTACCTCACATCCTGCCAAAGTGCTATTAGAACCTGTCATAAATATAACGTTAGAACTAATTATATAATATAATTCGTTTTATTATTTCAACAGGCCTACATGGAATCCTACCTATGTATAAAAAAAACTAGGTCGGTCAATTAAAAAATAAATAAATCAGCAAATATCACAATTAATCGTGATTAATCAAGATAAATCAAGATTCCTAAATACAACCAAAACATTTTTTTTCCTGTATTTTGCTGGAACAAAACCACAAATAACAACAGGTAGTTGTGTGTGTGTTTCACACCAGAAGTCAAAATCTTGCATCATAGAATTGGTGAATTTTAGTCATTACTGCGGATCTCGCTGTTAGAATGTGTCCAGAGAACGTTTTCAGAACTTCGGTGAAGCTCTCACCCTCAACAATATTGATGATATTTTAAGTCTGCTCTGGTGAAATGAAAAATGCAAATACCAACATGTATCGACTGTATATCAGTGAGATAATTGGATATACAGTACAGTGTGCATTATTCTGACCATCCATTAAAAATGAACCTTATTAATTCCATTAAATAATAATCACAATCCACTCCATGTTACAGGGGCATTGTCCACAGGCCAGACAACCGTCAGACTCTTATCTGTCATTTATGCAAAAAAATATTTTTTTTTTTAGAATAACTGCGTCAGAGCCAAGCTGTGGACCCTGTGTGAGACGTCAGAGAGAAAAAACCAGTCTGAATAATGGAAGGGGCCTGACCTAACACAGACGAGGTGTTAGTGACTGAACCACAGCCAAAAAAAACCTGTCCAGACCAACTCTACATGTCTATCATATGACAAATGAGTACAAAGGCATGACGTCGTTACTGAGAAATCTGGAAAGTCTGATGGCAGAAACCCTGACTGTGTGTACTCCATGGTCGGGACACCATGAGTATTATTCCTGGGGAGACAAGGTGGACAAATGTTGGACTTTAAGGGCAGTTCTGATGGAGAAGGTTCTGATGGAATACAGGTGAGATAAATATAAAACTCATAGGCTTTAACCACCATATGGCAGTTCTTGTTGGGCCAACATGTAGCCTGCTGACAATAACATATGGACCGCGATTTTATCCCATTCTGCACCCACTGTGAAACACAAAGCCTAGCTGGAATTCTCAGATCATTTTTCTTTTTTTTTTAATCTACCCTAGTATTTACCCAAGTTTTCAATAGTTTCCAATAATAGCAACACTTACGTGTCACATTAAAACTTTGTAGATGTGATGCCGGTGTTGATGCTTTTTTTGTGTACGTTTTCACAAACATTTGAGCCGTCAAGAAAATAGTTACTAAATTGTTCTGTTTATTTATTAAAATATCTAAGGCTAACTCGATGAGATTTGGTAAATCTGGTGGTGAAGTTGCTTGTTTCAGGTACATATCTGGCAACTCACGATTCCCACACAACCACATTAACCACCAGTGCGACGTCACTCCCACCCGTCACTCTCACAGTAAACTGCGTCCACTCATATTGCAGTTCCCCTTACTTATACCATTGTCTATGTAAACTAAGTGCATCGTGATGTAGAACATTCACGTCATCGTCTGTAAACAAAACCACAACGGACACAACTGGAACCTTAGATTTACTGACATTAAAACCATGTTTTAATTTTGGTTTCACTTCTATGGAAATGTCTACAAACTCATTTACATGTGAAACCATGTCAGTCACTGTTGGTCCATCTCCAGGGATTCACTCAGGGCTGCAGATGTTCTGCGTCCAATTCCTCCTACACACTAGATGATCTCACTCGGCTCACACTACATCACAGAAGGAAAGTTAGCTTCCCAAAAAATATCAGGAAGGTCTTTGTTCTTCACCGTGCGCCTGCTGAGCTTTCACTTCAAAAAGCCAAAGCTGCTTTCTGCAGTGGAAACATGCCAGGGTAAGATGGTGGCATCTGCAAACAATGCCCCGGTCTGAGGTACATACACAGGTGTCAACCTCCAAACTACTATGACCTCATAAACACGTCCAGATTAAGGAGAAGATTCCATTTCTGCTCCAAAGAACTGTCTTTTTTTTTTTTTGGTATTTTCTAAACAATATTGCAAAGTAACGCTATTCTGGTCCTGATGGTGTCACAGAGGTAAACATGTTCTACACTGGTGCACTGGTGCTGTCCTCAGCTGACACCTATAGGATGCGCTGAGGTTCACTGGTGATGCATACAGTCTGTCAGCTCGTGGAACATTAGCTGCTCCACACTGGACCACAACCGATGTCTCCTCTTCCTCCTCCTCCTCTACCTTCACCCATCTGAGCTGACTGGTACTGCTACTACCGCTGCTGCTGCTGCTATGATCGGTACACAGTGGCCGTCTCCACCTCCTCTCCAGTTATCATTATAACACATAACGAGGCAGATGAAGTTGAGGACACACTCTGACCGTCAGACACTACTCAGATCCTGCCTTCAGCTCCACACCTCACACACAGCCTCCGTCTATGATCGCCATCCATGTGAATCAGCGACAGTGAACAAGCGATGACATTAAAGCTCATAACAATAATAATCATAGCAATAATAATTTAGCTTCATCATTTACCAGCGTGCTACGGTGCAGGCGGCTGCAGTCATTTATCCGGTAACCGAAGGGCCAGACGTCGGCATTTCCTGGATCGTGGTGTCGTGGATGGAGCTGCTGTCCGGGGCGGAGAGCGGTGCAGTGGAGAAGGAGCCGGACAGAGTCGGGGGTCTCCCTGCCGTGGTGTGAGAGCGGACAGCGGTGGCACATTCAGCTGATCGCCACAACATAACAACATCTCGCCCTGGAAAAGCACACACTCAGCTGCTCCGCACTACCCGCAGCACATAGCCTCGGAAGCCCCGCCCCTCCTGCTTCAGCGTCCACCAATGAGGTAAAAGAGACGACCCCGCGCTATGAATATTCACCAGCTGGAGGACACGGTGATTGGTTGATATCAACAGTTCCTGCTCGACGCTGTTCATTCTAATTGAACTGATGTGGCTCAATTTTGGGATTCCAACTATGGGAGCAACATTCGACTGTAGTTTCTACCCGAGGCCTGGTGCTGCAGGACGGACAACAAAACCTAACAAAGGCCCGGAGAGTGGGTCATGTGAGGGTAAAGGGCCAAAAGTGACGACATGTGGCCCACTCAGGACACATGTAACCACTAAACCAACATGTTGGACGACAAATGGACACACTGGAAAATTTCTAGTTATCTTAAAAGACGTTTTTTGTTTGTCATTTATATTTAAAATGTTACAAAATGAAACAAACAAACAAAAACACCCTACAAGTATAGCTGTGTTTAAAGTACACAGAGCAATAAATATGTAAAGTTTACTCTGAGTGAATGACAACATTAAGGCCAGTCCCACACCAGGCTGTAGCAGTTTAGCTAACCTCCACCTCTGGTTCCAGTGACAGGTTGAAGATAATATAATACTTACTCAAAGCATATAAGCAAATATTTTATTTTATTTATTTATTTTTAATAATAAATCTTTTTTTAAAGTAGCATGGAGGCCAAAAAGTATGGACACCCCTCTGTAGAGGAATGTCTAACTTGTTTAGTGGACTCTCAGGTCAGTCCTCACATGCACACACTGTCCTCCATTATTGTTTGGCTCCGCAGCTCCGTTGCCACAGATGGTCAGTGACCAACTACTGACCTGACATGAGTCTCATTCGGTTACTGGAAGTGCTGATCTGACCTCTGCTTCCAAACAAGGCCTGAAAAATGATCTGGGTCACGGTAAAAACAACTTCCTTTAACTTAATGATGGAGTTATGAACAGGATCTAAGGCCACGCACTGAACAAAGATATGTATGGATTTTTCATAGAGACATTGGTGTGGAGCGACTTCAGGAGTTGTTGTGACAAAGGTCAGATACTGGATGCAAAAGGTCAGAGCCAGGCCGTAGCTGTAGCTGTTCTCTACAGAGGTGATCGAATGATGCTCTGTCTGGATATCAGACCATGGAGATGTGTTGTTTGTCAAGAGTCCAGTACAGTACGTAATCAGTGTCAAGGTGCAGAGAACCAGGGACATTCTTCCTGACGAGCAGAGGAGCGTGTTGTTATTCCTGCTATTTTGTGTGCCGTATTTTCAGACTTTCATCTCTGCAGCTTCATTCAGCGTGGTAATTCACCTCCTGTTGTTGAAAACAGCGTCGCAACAAAAGGAAGAGGTAGAGGGACGAAAAGTGTGAGAGAAGAGAGCAGAGACAAGACAGTGGGAGGAAGTGAGAGACAGAGCCGGAGAAGGTGGAAGGAGAGCGGGGACATGCTGTGGTGTGAGCACTCCGTACTGTTATAATACCACTCTGACAGGCTTATGTAACCAGACTGGCCTGGCTCACAGCAGACACAGACTGCACTCTCTGTTATATAACTGCATTAACTGCTGCTCTGAACTGAGGAGGAGCATGCGTGCAGGAGGGAGAGTTTCACAAAGTCACACACACACACACACACATCGACTTTTACACCTTGTGCTCATGACAGGTTGACTGCATTGCACCGCAGCCAGACTGGGACGGCAGGGACGGTCACACTGAGTAAACTTCCACAGGACGTTCATCAGTTCTTCAGACGTGGACAGGTGTCTCACTGCCAACAAGACAAACTACATATAAGAGGGAACTGGCATCAGCATCTTCTGTTCCCATCATCCAGCAACAAGTTTCCCATCTCGAAAAGCCTAATTGGGGCTTAATGTTTGGTAAATGTTTTCAGTGCACATGTAGTGTACCAGCAGGGCCTAAACACAATTAGCTCCCCTGCATGCAGCCCATAATTTAATGGGCCTGGATCCCTCTTTTAAAACCCAATTACACCTCAGACAGGCGTTCTCAGTCGGTCTGTCAAAGAGATGACCATGTATTATATTTATGACAATGATAAAAACAGTGACAGAGCTTAAATGATTGTGCTGACCGGTGTAAAAAAAATGACCTTATTCTTGACAAGTAAACTGCAGCTTAACGGTGACATTTCCCAGCTAACGTGGGAAAAGACAAGTGAAGATTAAGGTCGGGGAGAACACCATGAGTGGTAATCCATTTTGTTTTTCGGTCAATCCTCCATAAAAACTGCCACGACACCCAACGATGCAGCAACACCAAGTGATTCACAATCCCAATATGACAGTCTTTGATTTCTTATGACGGCAACAAATTGTGTCTGATGATTACAGAGGAAATGAAGGTGGGATTTATGTCACAGGAGCGAACCACCAAAGACTGAGTGTGTCTCAAATCTACCTCGGGAGGAAAATCAAGTTCACATCTGTTTACCTGATGATAAGGGGACAGGGGAGGAGGGCAGCAGTGGGATTTACGGTGCATGGCTAATTTGCTCTCAGATGCTGCTGCCTGGGTCCAGAGGCTGTTCAGTTCGTGTTGGCACCAAGGGGGAGAAGTGTTGGGTCTGAAAGTCAAAGTCAGTCTTCGGGGTTAAGGGGGAAAAAATGGAACAAGTAGTTATTCAAAAAAAAAAACAAACTTGTGTAATAACTTGATTTAAAGCAGCTGCTTATATTAGGATTTTACAAGACATTATTTGGATTAGTCACAATAAAAACAGGTTTGAGAGCCAAACATCTGTTCAGTCAGTGTCTGTTACGTTGTAATTATACAACGTAACAGACATGATTTATACAAATAAAATATTTACCCTAATTAAAAAGTAACTGTTTTGTTTTGCCTGTAAAAACAAACAACAACACTATTCTAAACCTACGTCAACTCTTTTGACAACTTACATCTAAGAACTGAAACATGAAAAGTTTGGATTGCTCAACTCACTGAAATATCTCAACCACTTTTCTTTTCTTTCTCAGAGTAACATATTTGCTTTTACAGCTTCCTGCTGCCTTTTATTATTGTTTTTGCCTCCACCACCTACGAAGAGGAGAAGAATTCACGTCTCACGTCTACAGTGTGACACCGTCCGGCCACCGAGTTTTGTCATAAGCAGGCTGGTTGTGGGAGGGTGGAAGACGACAGAAGGAAGTGTGTTGTGAATGGTTACAGACTGTGCCAACTGGACTGAGTGACTGCAGGAGCCAAAGTCAACATGTCCCCCGTGCCAGCCCGGCTAGAAGGAAATAACATAGTTGAGGCAGTAGGCAGTTTACAGATAATTCAAGCAGCTACATTCTGTGTTCACCAGTGACAGTTTAAGGTGTTTTAAGTTTAGGTGGAAAGGCTACTAATTTTAATAGTTATGGACAACAAGTTTTAAATGTTCTTTTTAAATGTGTATTTTTTAAAATAACAGTCTTATTGTAATTTGTTTTTAAAATCTGATTAATCACAGAATAGTTGTGGATTAATCATGATTAACCGTGATTGGGATAAATTAGGTTTTAAAATCTAAAAAGTTTTTGTTTTTGACTAAACCAAATTATGACATTATTAATATCTAAAATTATCAAGAAAAACATGCAGAAGCCAAACTCAAAATTTAGCTTTGTGGAGTTGGTGGATTTTAGTTGTTAGTGCATCTTGACGGTGGCTTGCCAAATTAGCCTCAACAACATTAATCGGTTTACACTTCCTCAACAACCCATCGGACTATTGTGTCTGTCAGCCTGTCAGCTGTGGACCTACTCACCACCCTGTGCCTTGTGAAGCTGGTCTGACACCGGTTGGACATCTGACCTGAAGGTGAAGCCTCCACAACAACATGCTTGTTGTTAAGGTGGTATTTAAAGCTTGAGGTGCTTCATGAAAGAAAAAAGTCTTTCCTGTAGTGTGTGTAAATAACAACATTTGTATCAAGCAACAACTTCATGGATGAATAGTCTGTGTGTCATTCTGTCCATATGTGAGAAATTCAATCTGAATCATTTCACAAATAAATGTGATTGACAAATGAATTTTTACAGTCCTACACATTTATCAATACTTTTACTGTAGCTACATATTTTTTACATTTTGTAAATACATTACAATAAAACGTCATCCCATAAACAGTTTCCATGGCAGGCCACAACAACAACACCAGCATCAGTGATGAACGTTTATTTTTAAAATGTGTGGACTACAAAAAGGCACTTATGAAACAAC